TTCCTGGCGAAGGCTTTAACATTTAACAATTAAATAGAGGACTGGTTTTTTTTCTTTGTCAGTCTGAAAATGGAACTGATGTTACAGGATTAAATTAGGTGTAAAGGGAATTAATTGGATTTAAGTGAGTCTCTTGTTTAACAGAGCAAATTGTTATCTTGTTCCTGCACCTATTGCTTGCTTTCCTGGGTCAGCATTCCTTTGAGGAAAGCATCTACACTTTCTCTTTAGACAACATAGTCTTTGTTAGCTTTAGTGCATTTCTGCATTTTCATAGGTGAAGCCTACAGTTTCTTTGGTAAAATAAACAGTAAGTGTGGGTGAAATATGCATAAGGTTATGATTAAAATATAAGGTGGTTTAAAAAAGAAGTTGTACTCAACAAAGTCAATCAAGTGTAATTATTTTGACTCGATTTGATGCTTCAACCAGCTATATTCTCTGTCATATTCAATCTGGATTTTTTTTTTTTTATTTAAATCAAGTAAATATGTAATAAAACCTGAGTTTGCTCAATATATTACAGGGAAGGCAGTCTGCATAAGTAAAGTAAACATACACCAAAAAAGGAAAAGGAGACATAATCACATTGACAGAAAGAAAAATTGCATTTGTGATGTTAAAAAAGCAGAGGGGAAATTTATTTATAGTGTAGGTTCTTGGCATGATGCCCCGTTGCCTTTTCTCTTTACTTACTCTTTATTTCTCAACTTAGAAAACTAATGTTGAGATGCCAATAAACAAGGCACTGCTCCAGAAAAAAAAAAGGAGAAAAAAAATCTATTGTAATGCTCTGTGAGCTACCTGTGACCAAGGGCAGCACACTCTAATTCTTAATGAGTAAAACCTTTTTTTTTATACAGTTAAAGGTAAGGTCAAGTTATGTGTGTAATTATGAGTTGTTGGGCTTTGTTCATTTCTAATGCAAAATGTGATACTGAATAATAATTTTGTTTCATGACAGAGCTGCATGAGGTACACGAAAAATATAAATAATCCTGATTAATAAAGAAGTAGGCGAATTAGACAAAGGGAAACAAACCGAAAGAGACAGCACATTGAAGTTTTGCTTGTCTCCCTGCATTACACTAAAAAGTAGAGCTACAGAGGAAGAGCGACACATAGAGACTTGTCAGTCTTGGCTGAAGCAGCTTAGGGACGCAGCCTTGTCCATCATCCTTTTTGCTGACAGACATGGACAAAGGCACATACGACCAAAGACCTGACAGATGAAGAACATAGTGTCTTTCTATCTCCTTACATATATGACAGTCTATGTTTTTTATGCATGTTCAGAATTTCCTGTCAGGTGAGCAAAATCTTACATTTTTTCATGCATTTAATTTCAAGGGTAAACCGTCAATACACAGTACTCTACTTTCTTGATTGAAACACATGCTGCTTTAAATTCACCATTTTCACTTTTTATTGAATCAATGCTGATTTTTGGCATGAGAAACTTGACGATTAGCATTTTGATAACTATACAGAGATCGCAGACTGTTTATGGTGTGTGTAATAGTGTGTGGTTCAGTTAATGAACAAGTTATGAAAAAGGTATGTGAAAAACAATCCACTGGACTAATATTTCCACATAAAACCTACTTCTGAGTGCTGATTTTTCCCCTCTCCAATAATTTGAATGACCTTGTTGCACATGTGAACACAGTGTTTCATGCCAAAGGTCATTTCATTAAAATGCAGAAATATGTATTGATTTCTTCTGCGTGACAGCTACCAATAAGCACATCTTTGTCATACAAAATATACTTTGAAACTTATAATGATAATACAAACAAAAGAGTAGCACATAACCAACTGCATCAGTCATCAGTAGGTGTGTTATTAAAGTAGATAACTAAAATTTATTGAGAAACTATCGGATTAAAAAATTGCAGCAGTTATTAAAGTATTATTGTTTGTGTCAGAAATATAGATTTCTGACATAAGATCCATTTGTAAAACTGGAAAATATAGAAATATAATAATAGACAGTTACACAGAGCATACTCAGAGTAACACTATTACTGCAACTAGGTGCCTTGTGATAAATACAAATTAAATAATCGCTCTCTGTCAACCACTTTAATATCCATCCACCCATGTTCTGCCCTTTGTCTGGGTCCAGATTGGAAGGGACTTCCCTATCTCCAGCCAACTCCTTCAGCTCTTCCAGGGGATCACTGATGCACCGCTAAGCCAACCGAGAGATGTAATCTGCCCTGGAATGTCCTCTCGGTAGGACATGCTCAAAACTCCTCACCTAGGAGACATCCATGTCAAATGCCTAAACCACCTCAACTGGCTCCTCGCAGAGGAGCAGACATCAGGATGTCCGCCTTTATCAGTGACCCTATTTTATCTGGTACTACCCAGGGCTGAGGGCCATTGGTGAGAGTTGGAATGCAGATTGAGCAGCACATTGAAGCCCTCTAACATAGCTAATCCATGACCTCTCACATCACTGCAAGGTCAGGGCGCTTACCGTATCAAGAAAATGGCACATGTCGAGACAACAGAGACATGACAGTCATAAAAAAGGAAACACCACAATGGTGACATGGTTCTCACTCTGATCTGTACTTGAAACCAAAGTAATTTAAACACTCGAGCAAAAGGCTTTTTTCCTCCCTTTTGACATAACTGTTACACTGTTTGGTTGTTTATGTGTATGAATTGTAGGTATTGCAAGACTTTGCATGGTTTTATACTATGAAGATGCAAATTATGTTTCTGTAGAGCGTTTAAGAAGGTGCTTTATTTGATATTATATCATGAGATCTGTTACATTACAATATGTTGAATTACAAGAAGACTGAGGTTTGTGCTCTCACATGAGACTGTTATTCTATTTTATTGCATTGCATTCACTTGACTTTAGCATTTTGTTTTATTTTATTGCCTGTGGTATGCTGGGGAAATTTTGTTTTTAAATTCATTTTTCCACCTAAATGTTTTATTTATGATTTGTCTTTGAAAAAACCTTGTCCTTTAAAAATCACTCCAATGATTTTTGTTTTTCTCAGCGAATGTTCAAATGTACATTTCTACTCCCTCATATTCCATTCCTGTCATTCTGTCATTCACAGAATATCCTGACTCTTTCGCCAAACTTGCTTTGCTTTACATGCGTTTGCTGCCACTGTATGTGTAGTAACTTTACTTTGAAGTGGCTTGAACTGTGTGGTGGTTGAAGATGGGAGATGGCGAGAGAAAGAAGTGAGTGAGAAAGGGAGATAGAAGAGATTGAAGAAAGGAAAGGAGTGGAGACACAGAACCAGAAAATGCAGAATGATGGCACAGTTTTTCCTCCCACATTCAGCTGCTGAATTATAAAATAGGAGTTTTCATTTTATACTGCACTACAGCAAACTCATAAATAAATATTCACTGTATTTTATTTGCATAGACAATGAACAAAGTACACTTTTGCTCTTCCTTTCTCCTTCATGTTTCCTGATTGCAGCAAAATATAAAATGATGAGCGGGGAATGTTTTCACTTTTCAAAATACACCAAGAAAAAAAAATACTTTAGAGTGAAAAAGAAAAAGTAGGTTTTCAGGTTGTTACAAGAGGTTCACAATTTTGTGCCAAACACAAAAAAACAGCTTGATTAGATTATTACTGACATACGCAGGTGTTTTTATACATACACACTCACAAAAATATCATGTACAGAGAGCTTATCAAGGGAAGGGTATGGCATGTTTGGCAAGACATAAAGCAAGAGAAACACAAGAAAGTAATAATGAGAAAGAAATAAAAAGTGAAATTTTTTTTGCCTCCTACTTCTGTGTTGAGGAAAACTTTTTTTACTTCAGAGTGTGTCTTTGTCAGTGTTGTTTGTGTGTGTGTGTTAATAAGAAGAGGCGTAAACACGATAGTGTGCATGTGTATGCATGCTTCTAAAGTGTGTTAATAAACTGAGGGAGGGTCTCGTCAAGGTGATAAATAGAACAGAGCACACCGGGACAGATTAGAGAGAGAGTGAACAACAAAAGAAAATAAAGAGATTAACTATAGGATGCCTTGAGAATGAAGGATTGAGGAGGGGCAGAGGGAGGGATGAAGCAATGTATACAGGGAAGGAAGGGAAAGAAATCACAGAGGAATGGATGAAAGGGTGAACAGAAGCTTTATAGGAAGAGGTGAAGAAAAAGAAATGAGAATGAGAGATGAAAGAGTGAACCTGGCTGGAAAAAAATAAAGGAACTGGGGAATGATGGTGATGAAGGAATAGAGATTAGAACATCTAGAAGGGAACAATGGAGTAACGGGACGAGGATGGGGATGGCAGGTGAGGAGGACATTATCTAGATTAAAGAGAAACCTGGATTTAAAAAAAATATGCTAGTGCTATACTGAAAGAAGGTTAACATAAGGAAAACAAGACTGGAAGAAAAGAAAAGATTTGGGATGAGTGGAGAAAGGTGACAAAAATTGAGCGTCAGAAAGAGAAAGAAAAGTGGTGAAGCATACTGATGAGAGGAAACGGGAGTGAAGAAGGAAAATGGAAGCAAAATTCCTAATCCGGTCCCTGAAAAATTACTAATTCATTGTAGCCTTTCTCATAAGCAGAACTGCATTCTCTGAATTAGCCATAATCTCCACCTCAAAACACATCTGATTCAGCCTGCTTGCAGCAATTATTCGGTAAAACTCTTAACTTTCTTAAAAGCCTTTGCTGTCACTCCTTTGTCTTCTCCCACCAAAACATACCGTGGGAGTCGGCACCATGCTGCGTGAATCAATTTTAAAAGGCGTTCTATACAAAGAGAGTATGGCACGCATCAGAGATTAAAGAAAATCAGTGAGAAAATCGGGGCAGGGAAATTCCAAGCGATGCAGATTGAATTTTTAAGCAAATTGTACCTTAACTGTCACTGTAACAACTCAGCTTTCTTTTCGCTTCGGTTTATAATGTGCTTGTGTGAACTTTAGATTAACCTTGCGTTCTCTTTTTTTCTTACTTTGTCTCGTTCTACATTCTTCTCTGCAGGGTGTGGTTCCAGTCAGGTATCAACTTCCTGGCTGTGAAACCCAGCAACCTTGTCGCATGGGAGATCAAACAGGAAATGGCACCGGGAAGCAGTTCGTTGGCAGTTATGTGCCAGAGAAAGGCCTCCTCCACAGCAGAGAGGTAGGACTCAAACTCTCATATCTATTCTTTTTAAACTGCTACCTCTGCCATGCAGCAGCTCTTTAACGTATCCCTTTTATAACGAGTAGTTGTGGGTGAGTAGCTGTTGGAAATGGTCTTTGATCTTTGTGCTTCAGGGCCATAAGAATGATAGTGCCACACATTTCTTAAAGCACTCTTAGTTGTCTTTACAGCGACAGTAAAAGTGTCACTTAATTTAAGAAAAGAAATTATTACAAGATCCTTTTTTTGACAATAACAATAACCATAACTTGTGTACTCTATACATTAGCTTTGAGTTTAAAAGGTATAGGTTTCAATGGCTCTTTTAGATTCTTACTGTTTTTTTATTGAACACAACAATCTGTAAGCCATCTTTGAATCAGAAATTTAAGAAATCAGAAATTAAACATAGTGTAATTGTGTTGCCAGTAAAGAAGTTTGTCTTATTGCCTATGGACTTATTGGTGATATGTGTATATCACAGAATAAATACATACATGCATGTAGTACACAAAGGCTGGCAAGTGTAGACATCAGTGACTCACAACTCATGCTAAATTTGCCATGCATGTGTGAGTGTTTAGTTGGTGTCATCAGGGTAAAACCAGCAACGACATAGTAAGTACAGTCTCTTTTTTTGTTTGTTTTTTGTCACTAATATAGCAGTCAATTAATACTTAACCTCAGTGAATGCTTACACTGACTTTGTTGTTGTATGGCGTTGATGGAGAAATGAAATATAATGGGTGAGATCTAAAACCCCAATATCCCAAAAAAAACATCTCACTTAAAAAGATAGCAGAAGTTAATTGGATGGAACAGAAAATGTATTTGTGATTAATTCGCATATTGTTACAGCTCAAAGCAAGCTCCAGGAATCAGTAATACAATTTTATTCCAAATCAACAAATCCCCAGTTTAAACTAAATGGATATTATAAGAGTGGTCGTTTTACAAAGAAGAGTAGCTGGCTCATTACGGTTCTTACTCAGTCACTTTCACACTATCAACAGCGAAGCAAGTCATTCAGTGTGCTGTTGAATTGTTGAGTAATGTATTCTTGTACATACTTTCAAAGGGATTGATCGCATTTTGGAAACACTATAGTTATATGACTGTCAAATATAAAATACACTGCACTAAAGAGGCTTTTATAATTATAATCTATACTGATGCAACCATATACTGGTTTGATTAATCAACTTTAAATACTTCTTTCCTCTTATTCTCTTGTTGCTTTAAAGCAGTGCTGATGAATGACTTTCCATCTTCAAATCATTATTGCATGGCCCCAGCTCAATTTGCACCACTTAGCTAGCTGTTAGCCACACCTTAACTCAACTGACAGACAGCTTCAGCACCGAGGAATGAGCCAAAGTGAGCATTAAAAGATGTATAAGTGATGACGCATCAGCTTTGAGCTTTCAAATTAAGAGTTTCAGAGTTAAAAGTGTGTGTTTTGTTTGTTTTTTTAACAAAAAATTGCCCTTTGAAGTGTATAGTACAGAAAGTATCTACCATGGGCAATTATACTTACAACTGACAGGTACTGTAATACATTTACTTGGAAACACAGTTCACTGCTGTGAAGTTATTTACCAGGGGTTTACATTTACCAATACCATTTCCTAATAATGGGTCTATGATTTCTAATCCGCACCAGTTTCCTCAGTGGTTGCTGCTGAGATGTTGCACCTGACTAACATTCCTTGTGTCTTCAATCCCAGTGTTAGAATTTTAAATATGGAAAGTATTCTTTGGAGTTGTTGTATGGTATCATATCAAAACTGAGGGGTAGATGACCCCTAGGATTTACACATAAAACAAACGAGAGCTCTTATGCATCATGTTGTGAAGTTTTTTGCTTAATTTAGCAGCTTTTATTTATTTATTTTTTGTTTGAGCCCAGCATGGATTGTTACCGCTGGCAGCTAGCTATGCTATTATCACTAGCATCTTCTGAAAAAACCTCCTGGCAATCTGGGTTGAGAATACTGTGTTTCATAATGGACTTAAACTCATTTGCACTTTCAAACACTTCAGATTTAAAAAGAGAGAGGCATTTGTGGAATTTCATATTTATATCATGTCGAGTAAAGTTGGATGGAGTTCTGGTGTGTATTCCAGAAATCTAATAAAAAGCAAGATGAAGCTGCTTACTGTGAATAATAAAATCATCACTGACTGGTTTTCACACAGTGGTTAAGCTAGTTGTTAGCTGTTCTTTTATTGTAATGTTATATGTGAGTTCTGTTAAAACTCACTCTTTTTTTCCCTCATATTTCCATGAGGATTTTTTTGTTTGGGTTATTACAACCAAAATGACCAAGCCTGGGGGACGGAAAAGAAAAAAGAAAGAAAGTGAAGTTGGGGAGAAAGATAGAAATGAAAAAACACTGAGATTCTGCTTTAACACTTGTTGAGAAAAAACGAAAATAGCAGATAAACAACAGCAACAACCAACACATGCATAAATAACAGTGACAATGTTACTCAACAGCACACAGTACTAATAAGATATTTTTAGAGGCGTGTGTGCCTGTGAGTAGCTGTGTGCACACCCATGCATGTAAGCGAGCTTGTGTTCATAAGGTTTCTCTGTGTAAGTGTATAATAGTTGGGAGCCAAAGCCCTGCCCCCAGGACCTGAAGCAGACATGGAGGAGACCCAAGCACACAGCCCCGGACACAGAGAACCACCAATGCACTGGCGGGTGGGGGCACCAGCCACTGGCAGGGAGTGTGGTGGGGGGAAATAGGCCCACCACACCTGGGGGAGCCTGAGATGTTCCAAGACGAAGGAGGAGTCTTAGACCTGACCTGACACACAGACAGGCAAAAAGGCATACACAGACACAAGCATGCATTCCAGACCCTTCACTCTGGGGTGGAGACAAGCAGACTGCCCTGGTCCCACAGCAGTAGAGCAGCACACCTGTCCAGACCCCGACCAGAAGGCCAGCCCCTCCTCCTCCTCCCGGCCTCCAGCCATGGATGAAAAAAGGGTTGAACAGAGAACAAGGATGTAAAAAGACCCTGCCCGTTCATAAGTGGTGTTGATGCGTGGTGTTCTAAAGTGTATTTAAAACAGAGGGGCCACGGCGCAGACGACCCTCGGCCAGACAACAGCTGGTGTCAGCACAGCCCGTCCTCAGAACCCTCAATGTCTACATGCAATTTAGAATTGAGGAGTGGGCATCAGCACCAGAGTTGAGGCCCAATGAACAGACCCTCCCTCTGGACACCATTCAGTGTGCCCACGCCCAAGGCCCTATATGTATGTGCCTTGAAGTGTAAGTGATGAGAGTGTCTAAATTGTGGAAAAAAACTGAGAAACAGGACCCCCCAAGAACCCACCCCAAGGGAACCCCCACATACCCCAAGCCCACTCACCTCCCCAACTCAACAACAACAGCTAGCCGGACAAACCCACAATCCCTCATCCCTACTAGCTGATGGAGCCCAGAGAGATTGATCTGATGTGGCGGCAGAGGTTGTCTTAAGACTGATATATGGTCCAACAAAAGGTCTCTATATTGGTCAATACTAAGATTTACTGTATTTTTCCAGATGATGAGGACAGTCCTCTTTGCAATGCATAAGGTGGTGAGAGTCATGTGGAGTGTATTCATCTCCATAGTGACATAATCTAGAAACTCACACCATGCTGTCAGAGACTCTCTGACAGAGCGGAGCTGATATTAAGGCTTTTAAAGCATGCGTGTCATTTGATATTTTTTAGCTTATGAGATCTGAAATCTCTGTTATTGCATAGTGCCTGTTCTATGTGTAGCCAGGGCTCAACTGAGTTTTAACCATCCTGAAATGTATTGTAGCCTATTGGCTAAGAAGTAGTGGTGAAAGTTAAGCACATCTAGTCCTCCTCTATCCTCGGTGCTCTGCAGCATTTTTAAGCTTATACACAGGGTTTTCTTTCCAAAGGAATTCAGAGATTGAAGAATCCAGAGATCTAAACCAGTCAGGTAATGGTTTACTCTGGATCACTGAGAACAAATAACTGATTCTTGGGAAAACCATCATTTTTATTGAAGTGACCCTTCCCATGAGATATATGTGTACAGACTTCCATCTAGACAGATCATCTTCCACGTTCTTTAAAACTGGGATGTGGTTCAGGTTAGTTAAATCTGCAAGCCTGGGAGAAACATTAACCTCATAAGCCCCAACGCCTCCTGATACGGGGGCAAAAAGCAGGAAATCAGGTAGGCTTGGGGCTTAAGAGGTTAATGCCTAAAAATGTAATATATCGAGACTGCAATGATGTCAAAGAAGAATTATGGAAGAAACAATTAATCAGAGGAATTGATGATTTTAACCAGTTTATCCAATAATCTGAAACTCAAGGAAGACAAATTCAATGTAATTACCTCAACGAGTGGTTTGTGAATGTTGGAAAAAAAGCAATACATCATCTGCATAAAGGCTGATTTTATGTTCTACGTTCTTGCATTGTATGACCTTAATCACTATAGCCTGTCTTATTGCTGCTTGTAGTTCCATAAAGATTGCAAACAGTGAGGGGGAGAGTAGGCATCCTTGCCTGGTGCCCCTCTGGAGAAGATGTTTGGTAATTTGTCCTGACACATCCTGTTGGGGAACTGCACAATATTTTTAACCACTTTATGAAAGTGGGCTTCCTCGCTTCCATATACTGTGTTCCCAATGAAGCTGTTAACAGCATATACAGTTGTAATAATGTACCTGATTTGTTACTGTGTTCAAAATTTTGCAAGCAGGGTCTTTGTACTAAGAATTGAGAGTTCTTTTTAATCAATTATTTCATTTGATTCTAGTTTTGCTTTACATATTTTGTTCATCACTTCTTGTTCCTGGGAAGACATGTAGGCTTCTTCTAAGGATTTAATGGTTTCTTCTAATTCCTCAATATATTTGTTTTCTCTTTTCTCCTTATGTGATGAGAATAAAATGATTTTACCTCTCATCACAGCTTTCTCTCCCTTCCAGAGAACAGATGCT